AAAATATCATAATTAACTTATCTTCTATATTTATATTTTTGGTGCATGTGGAGGAAGTTAAATACCATTTATTGCTTTGTTAACAAGATCAATATTTTATAAAGAAAATTGAAATTAAAATAATTTTGAATGGACTCATTAAATGATTTATGTGATTTTTCATTGGGACCATTTGTTTGCCACCTTTTGAGATTGTAACATTCAATGGAGTGAAATAGAGAGAATCATGATCTTTTTATCATAGTCATTATTTAAGATGTTGTAATTGATTTTTCCATTTCTCATTAATTTATTTGTTTTTATATCAGGTTGTACGTCTGCTCATTAAATTATTTACTCTACCTCATCTTCCATACGTCAAGTTTGAATTATCTTAACCTCATTTGAGAATTTCTATTTTAGTAATTTTTTTGACTTTTTATGAAAAGATATACAAAAAAGTAAAGAGCATGATCTGACAACTTATAGTGATTTTTTACCTTTTCTGCTAAAAGGTTTAGTTCCCAAAAAAGGTTGATCATTAAATTTAAGAGAATAAGTTGGGTTTGGTGGGCCCATTTTTGAGTTGACCTTGATATGCTGTCCATTTTTCTCAGACAAATGTGATTCAAATATATAATTATTGATATCGAGTCATTTCAAATTTTTATATAAATATTCTATTTAACGAATCCTAAAAGTAAATGGTTCAAATTAACGAAATTGGTCTCCAAAATAGACCCACTAAACCCAACTATTCTCTCAAGTACGAACTTGAAAGAATCCAACCATTTTTAAAGCAAAAATGCTAGAGGCCCCAAAAATTCTACCAAAAGTTTTACCAAATGTCTCACATGGGTGTGGGACCTACCTGGGACCCACATTGTGTGGGTCCCACACCCATGTGAGACATTTGGTAAAACTTTTGGTAGAATATTTGGGGTCTCTAGCATTACTCTTTTTAAAGAGTCATTTTTGAACAATTTTCATCATCATTCTTCGTTATCAAATTATTGAATTTTTCTTTAAAAAGAGAAATCTCGAAAAGATATTTAACTTGTATTCAATAGGGGCAAATACTCTTGCTTTAAAGAATTACCTTCTTGCTTGTCCTTCCAACTATATACAATTTTTTTATCTTATACATTTAACTTGATGAATCTTGAACAAATAAATAACAATAATGATAGAGACCACTAATTTTGAAGCTCTAAAAAGATCACTAATGACATAACACTCAATAAAAAAAGAAAAAAATACAATATCAAGGTCAAAATATCAAATCATTCATGGTGGGACCTACTGTCACATTATTAGTGGTAGCACTAATTAGTGCTCCCACTCATTTTCTAATAAATAATCAACCTGAACCAGTACTCTTGCTTTAATTTTTTTTAAATTAAAGAAAAAAACTTTGCAAGAATCTAATGATACGTAGGCAATTGATTTGATACCTAGCAAAATGTATTATTCTTTGAAGATAAACAACTCCCATTATACAGTTGCACTGTCCTCACGAGATGGACACGTGATTTTAAGCCCTTTATATAATACTAGCCTATCACCCGTGCTATGCACGGGATAATTATAAATATTTATATTTGTTTTAGATTTTTTTTAATATATAAATTATGTTTTTTAAGATTTTTTATAAAAAGGATTTAACAATCTTATCACTAACCATAGTGTATGGGAGAAATTGAAAAGGGTATTGCAGTAACTATACATGGATTGTATTTATAATTATTTGTATGAGGGGATTTTGACCAAATCAATAAATGCATTTATGTAGAAAGACATGTGGATTGAAAAAAGTTAATAAATGCTGATTAGGAGATTTTGACCAAATCAATAAATGCAGAGTTTTTTTTTAAATAAAAAATAAAAATTTAGAAAATTCAAATTGGGATATTAAAACTCCCACAGGCCTTGGGCGTTAAAAATCCCCTTTTGTTTAATATATTATATAGATAGATTATTTAGAGCCATTGAACAAACTACAATCACATTTTTCTTTTTGTGAGTTAACTTTAATCATATTAAAAAATCAAATTATAAGCAAAAAGAGATAACTTTAATGATACAAATTACAATTTTTTTAATGCTATCTAACTATAATGATATTTTTCTCATAAGAAAAAAAATAATTAAAAAAATAACCATTAAAATAGTAAATAAAAAAGATTATTTAGAACCATTGAACAAACTACAATCACATTTTTCTTTTTGTGAGTGTTTATGTTTATCTAACTTCAATCATATTAAAAAATAAAATTATAAACAAAAGGAGATAACTTCAATCATACAAATCACAATTTTTTTAATGCTATTTAATCATCATCAATAATTAAAAAAATCAATCACAAATTAAGTCAATTGATAATTAAAAAACACAATAATTTATTTTTCAAAAAACATAATGAGTTAAAAAGATCAATTACAATTTTTTTTTTTGGTCAAAATATAATCTAATCATCATCAATAATTGGTACGTTATGTGACCCTAATGAGTACAATCCATTTTGTTTTTCAAACAACACAGTGAGTTAAAAATCAAATAACAAATTAAGTGAATTGATAGTTAAAAAAACACAATAAATTTTTTTTTAAAAAAAACACAGTGAGTTAAATTTTTTTTTTCAAAATATAATCTAATCATTATCAATAGTTGGTACTTTAAAAATCAAATCAGAAAAAAATCAAATCAAATCACAAATATTTTTATGCTATCTAACTACAATCATATTTTTTCATAAATAATTGTAAAGAAAAATTATTAAAACAGTAAATAAAAGATTAAATCACATTAAAAAAAAACATTGAACAAACTACAATCACTTCACATTTTTCCCATAATAAAATAAATAAATAAATAAATGAAAAAAAAAGAACCATTGACTAACTATAATCACATTAAAAAAAAAGAACCATTGAACTAATTACAATCACATTTTTTTCTTTGTGAGTGTTTATGTTTATCTAACTTATATCATATTAAAAATAAACTTAAAATAGTAAATAAAAAGATTAAATAACATTAAAAAAACCCATTGAACTAACTACAACAATCATATTAAAAAAAAAGAGCCATTGAACAAACTATAATCACATCACATTACAATCACATTTTTTTCTTTATGAGTGTTTATGTTTAGGGTTTAGGGTTGAGTGTGTATTGGAGAAGTTAAAAGACTTTGAAGAATTTAATAAGTGCTAAGTTTTTTTTAAAAAAAAATATCAAAAAAAATTAAGAAATTAAGGTTCAAATATTGGAACTCCCACAAAACTTGTGGGTTAAAGACAGATATAAATAAATAGACAGATATAGATATAGATATTTATATTTGTTTTAAAAAAATTTTAATATACAAATTATTTGTTTTGGAAAAGATACTGCAATAATTATGAGAAAAGTCAAAAAGTCTTATGGGTTGAGAGAACTTAATAAATGCTGAGGTTAATTTTTTTTTTTAAAAACAAAAAATTAGAAAATTAGGATTGACATATTGGAGCTCCCACAGGCCGTGGGGGTTAAAAACCCCATTTTGCTTAATATATAGTATAGACTAGCCTATCACCCGTGCTATGCACGAGATAGTTATAGATATTTATATTTGTTTTAATTTGTTTTAATATATAAATTATGTTTTTTAAGATTTTTTATAAAAATAATTTAACAATCTTATCACTAACCATAGTGTACAGGAGAAATTAAAAAAACTACTGCAGTAACTATGCACGGGCTGTATCTATGATTATTTGTATGAGGGGATTTTAAATGCTAATAACAGATTTTGACCAAATCAATAAATGAATGCAAGCATGTGGATTGGAAAAAGTTAATAAATGATGATCAGAGAATTTTGACCAAATCAATAAATGATGAGATTTTTTTTTAAATAAAAAATTTAGAAAATTAAGATTGAAAGATTGAAGCTCCCACAATGCTTGGAGTTTAGAAACCCTATTTTTCTTAATATATTATCTATATATGTGAATTGCGATTTTTAAATGTCTTTTTTTTCCCCTTTTTTTATATTATATTAAAGTTTAATATTTTGATAATAATCATATGTGTTTGACTTTTCAAGAAATTAAATGTTTTTAATTATTATTATTTAGGTAGGTTATGATGTGAGTTAGATATGTGATAGACATGTGAGTTTTATTGATTTAAAGTTTATTTAGATAAACTTTAAAGATTTTTTTTTTAGTATTTTAGTTTTTTTTGTTATGTTATAATATAATATATAAAATATAGGTAGATATCTACAACTTTAATAAAAAATATTATCTGATTTTTTGGGGAAGAGAAAAGGAATGCAAGTTTTAATATTTTTTTTTGAAAATTTGTGAGAGAGATTAGGAGGGAGAGATTATGAAATATTTTTGTTATTAAATAAATAAATCAGTCAATAATTTTTTTAATCTATTTTGTAAATTAAAAATCAATAATTTTGGAAAATTGATTAATTTGTCCTATTAAGTGATTTAAAATTTTGATAGATATACATAAAAAAAATTACATAATTATATTATTAAATCATAATTCAAATTTAGATGTTATGTCTTTTTGAGATCTATAGTTAAATTATTATATTTTTTTTTATTTTTGTGTGTAACTATTGACTTTGGGGTTAAAAACCCCTTTTTACTTAATATATAGTATAGATTATTAGTATATAAAATTCAGACTCTTATTATGTTAGCTAAGATCGATTATTGGTAGTATATGAAATGAAACTTCATTTAGACTTCTTGTTATGTTAGCTAAGATCGATTATTAGGTCAAGTTTGGTATATGGTCAAAAAGTTGAAAAATTAAAAAATTATTTAAAAAGTTAAAAATTTATCACTATTCACCAAAAATTAAAAATTACGACTACACAATTTTTAATCTTAATTTTTCCTTACACACTAATTTATATAATTTTTTAATACACATTTTTTTATAAAAAGTTAAAAAATTAATCCAAAATCATATTTTTTTCTTCCAACTTTTTAGTACAAAACAATGAAATGAAACTTCATTCATTCAGACTTCTTGATATGTTAGCTTAGATCGATCAAAACGAACCCCTTCTTATTTTTCTGTCGCCGTCTCTGCGAACCCTAGCTTTTCACTCTCTGTGCTTTGATCAAAGCTTGCATTTTCAAACTTTGAGCATGGCTTCGAGATCATCGGGTCGTAACAACTCTGCTTCGAAAGGGTTTGATTTCGCCACGAACGATGACTTTGTTTGCTCGTACGAGGACTACGGTAATCAGGGTAATTATAATGGAAGGCACTCCGATTCCGTGATTGGATCCAATTCTGCTAAGGTATTGTTCTCATATGCTCACTATTTATTGGTTTGATTTCGAGTCAAAATTGTATTGTGTGATTGGTAGTTTAGGGTTTTTGGATTTTGATTTGGAATACTCGAGTAGTGTTTGAGAATTTTCCTCTGTTATGCTCTGCGCAAAACTTGCGTCTTTTCATTGTGTACTGATTGGAATTAGCGTGGTAGAAAGATCTTGTTGATTCCGTGTTGCCGTAATTGAATGTTGTGGTTTAGGAAAGCTTCAAGTTATTAAAACTGAAACTTGACCCTATACAGAGCTCTTCAATGTTGTGTGCGATGAAAAATGGTTCTTGCCTGCTCAATTTCTGAGAACTTGGCAAACAAGTCTTCAGGTATAGACCAATCAAAAACATCAAAGTTTTCTATGAGCCTTGTCTCATTTGTGCCCTTCGGAAGAACACTGTGACCCATTTCCAAAGCCCAACAAAGCGCAACTTGTGCAGGAGACTTGCTCAATTTCTCTGCAACCATATTGAGAATTGGATTCTTGAGAATGTCACTCTTTTGGTAACCTGGAGAACCCAATGGTGAATACCCCTGCATAAGAAAAACTCATCAGCAGAAGTCTTTTAAAAATTAAACAGGCGACAAATTTGGACCACATTAAATGAAATCCATCCAAAATTTAGAGAGAAATTTTTATTTTTTTTTTTGACATAAGTGTATTGAACACTAACAATAAACTTAAGATACTTTAGATATGCATACTCACTGATAAGTGAAGTCCTTTGGATTTACAGAATGCGTGAAGTTGTGGTTGTTGATCCCTTCTTCAAGCTGATAGGCCAGTGGATCTTCAATAATTAATCAAGCAACCCCATTTAGTTACAAAGAAATAACAAAATTCACTTGAGATATCAATAACCAAAATAATTTTAGAAAGAAGTGGTTTTTCCTGAGAATTTGTTTCTGTACATCTCACTCTATTACTTCATCCTAGTTTGACACCAAAGAATTTGTTGCTGAGAATTTGTTCCAATGCCTCCTGGACATATTCTGGTGCATGATCAGTACACCTGCAAATCATTGCAGTTCAAATTGAATAGCATGAACTGGTTAAAAGATCATATGGAGTTGCTAGGTGCAAGTTCAAATTTTGCATTAACATACAATTGAAATTCCAAATGATTTTTCATTGCTTTTACTTCTCTCTTAGACATTAAGGTTGAGAGACATGTTTGAGTCAAAGAAGATTCAGATGAAACCAGAGTTTAGAGGTGATCCACAAGTCTTTGCGCTGCACCACACCATCTTCAAACAGCTTCTTCAAAGCTGAACCAATCTACATAAGATCAAATATGTAGATCATTACACGAGTAAAACATTTAAGTGGAAACCACTAAAATCCTGTCCATAAAATCAGCAAACAAGTATCTTAATTTCCAATTGGAGTATCATAAAATCAGAAAACAATCTGATCTCTGTCCAAACAATCTGATATGATAAATAATGTACATAAATGCAATAATCAGCTTAAAATTTGTGTAAAATAGGCTTATATGTTTGTGGTTCAAAATTTGTTACTTTCTATGGTAACATGAAAAATATATGCTATAAGTTAACATTGTAGGAGTGGGATTGTGTACTGTAATTTGGTTAATGTTTCTTGCTTAATAGATTACATAATAAGAAATCATTTTACATGTTCTCTATGAAATGTACTAAGTGATTCAAGTACTACTATATATACTGTTAGCATGTGGGTATTTCATGTCAAAGTACCTTTATGGTTCGTCTTTGCAGTCTGTGGTTTATATCAATAGACATGATCGTGTTCCACAGATGTAGGGATATCATTAGTTATCATCCTTGGTATGAGGTTGATTTCATACTACTATCTTAGGTTTGATGATAAAGCAATTGTTCATCTAACAATTTTGTACAGGGCAGTTTGATAATTTGGCTATGTATATTTTTATTTATTTGACAAATAATCAACCTGAAACCCAATACTTTGAAGCTAATCTAAAATCTAATTTGAACCAAATCATATATTTTCTTGAAATCAACACTTCTCTTTTGGTTCAAGGTACAAAATTTTGAAAAATTCTATAATATTTTCAAATTATGATATTTAGTAGTATTTGTTTATAATCCGCTATGATATTGATTATGACTTTATTATAATCTATTAGAATATTATTTATAACTTAATTATAATTGAAAATTTGCTTAAAATATCAAAAAAATTCAGTGAAAACAAAAATAAAAAATAAAAAAACAAATTTTTTGAAATGTAAATTTTGAAAAACAAAACCAAACAACCTGAATCCAATTTTTTTTTTTTTTTTTTTTTAAAATTCAAAAATAAAAGCTAACAATTTCTAACAAATCCCTCGTTTAAGTCAGAGGCAAGACAATCTTCTCCAATTCACAATCCATTTAAAAAAAAAAAAAAAAAAAACTTCTTAGCACATTGGTATAATTATTAGTATATGAAATGAAACTTCATTCATTCCAACTTCTTGTTATGTTAGCTAAGATCGATCAAAACGAACCCCTTCTTATTTTTTCTCTATTTTCGTCTCTGCGAACCCTAGCTTTTCACTCTCTGTGCTTCGATCAAAGCTTGCATTTTCAAACTTTGAGCATGGCTTCCAGATCATTGGGTTGTAACAACTCTGCTTCGAAAGGGTTTGATTTCGCCACCAACAGGATAATTATAATGGAAGGCACTTTGATTCCGTGATCGGATCCAATTCTGCTAAGGTATTGTTCTCATATGCTCACTATTTATTGGTTTGATTTCGAGTCGAAATTGTATTGTGTGATTGGTAGTTCAAGGTTTTTGGATTTTTGATTTGGAATACTCGAGTAGTGTTTGAGAATTTTCCTTTGTTATGCTTTGCGCAAAACTTGCGTCTTTTCATTGTGTACTGATTGGAATTAGCATGGTAGAAAGATCTTGTTGATTTCGTGTTGCCGTAATTGAATGTTGTGGTTTAGGAAAGCTTCAAGTTATTAAAACTGAAACTTGACCCTATACAGAGCTCTTCAATGTTGTGTGCGATGAAAAATGGCTACTTGCCTGCTCAATTTCTGAGAACTTGGCAAACAAGTCTTCAGGTATAGACCAGTCAAAAACATCAAAGTTTTCTTTGAGCCTCGTCTCATTTGTGCCCTTAGGAAGAACACGGTGACCCATTTCCAAAGCCCAACAAAGTACAACTTGTGCAGGAGACTTGCTCAATTTCTCTGCAACCATATTGAGAATTGGATTCTTGAGAATGTCACTCTTTTGGTAACCTGGAGAACCCAACCATATTGAGAATTGGATTCTTGAGCTATGAAGCATGGACACGCCAGATTTCATGCCGTGGCAGTGTTTGACATGGGGACACGCTGAGGACACGGGGACACGCCGGGGACACGTACGGGACACACCGGATGGCGTGTCCCTTTAATTTAATTATTTTTTTTGTAGGGACACGGCGGAGACACGGCGGGGACACGCGTGTCCACCAAATTTGGACACGCGTGTCCAAATCTGGACATAAAGAGCAAAAAAGAAGAGTAAAGGTCTTGAAACAAACCTGGACTTCGATCCAATCGACTCGCCTGTCGATCTCCGTGACTTCGACCACCGGAAGCCATCGACCTTGACCTCCATCCCCTTCGACTTCGACGAGATCTCTCTCTCACCTTCTCTCTCTCCTTCGCGATCGCGATCGCAATCGCTATCGATCGCTGCTTCCTCTCTCTCTCTATCGCGTCTTTATCTTCTTTCATCTTCTTGATTCATATATATATAACAGTTATAAGGATGACATCAACTTAGTTATTATTATATAACTATTATATTATTGTTATATAACTATTATATTATATAACAGTTATTATACATATAATATATTTATAAGATAATAAATAATACATATTATAAGATAATATATACTTATACATATTAATAAAAAAAAAATAGACACATGTATGTAAAATAAAAAAAAAAAATTAATTGGAACACATTATTTAAAAAATATAATAAACAAATAAAATAATTAATGTGTATTAAAATAAAAATATTTATAAAAAAATTTAAAAATCTACCGTGTCCCTTGCTGTGTCCGTGTCCTATAAAATAGTGAAAAAAATAAAATAAAAAAATTAATAGAATCATATTTATTTAAAAATATAATAATTAAATAAAATAATTAACTTGTATTAAAATAAAAATACTTATATATAAAAAAATTTGCCGTGTCCGTGTCCGTGTCCCCATTTTTTAAAAAATGCCGTGTCCCGTGTCCGTGTCCATGTCCGTATGCGTGTCCGTGTCCGTGTCCGTGCTTCATAGTTCTTGAGAATGTCACTATTTTAGTAACCTGGAGAACCCAATGGTGAATAACCCTGCATAAGAAAAACTCATCAGAAGAAGTCTTTTAAAAATTAAACAGGCGACAAATTTGGACCACATTAAATGAAATCCATCCAAAATTTAGAGAGAAATTTTTTCTTTTTTTGACATAAGTAATATTGAACACTAACAATAAACTTAAGATACTTTAGATATGCATACTCACTGATAGGTGAAGTCCTTTGGATTTACAGAATGCGTGAAGTTGTGGTTGTTGATCCCTTCTTCAAGTTGACAGGCCAGTGGATCTTCAATAATTAATCAAGCAACCCCATTTAGTTACAAAGAAATAACAAAATTCACTTAAGATATGAATAACCAAAATAATTCTAGAAAGAAGTGGTTGTTCCTGGGAATTTGTTTCAGTACATCTCACTCTATTACTTCATCCTAGTTTGACACCAAAGAATTTGTTGCTGAGAATTTGTTCCAACGCCTCCTGTACATATTCTGGTGCATGATCAGTACACCTGCAAATCATTGCAGTTCAAATTGAATAGCATGAACTGGTTAAAAGATCATATGGAATTGCTAGGTGCATGTTCAAATTTTGCATTAACATACAATTGGAATTCCAAATGATTTTTCATTGCTTTTACTTCTCTCTTAGACATTAAGGTTGAGAGACATGTTTGAGTTAAAGAAGATTCAGATGAAACCAGAGTTTAGAGGTGATCCACAAGTCTTTGCGCTGCACCACACCATCTTCAAACAGCTCCTTCAAAGCTGAACCAATCTACATAAGAGCAAATATGTAGATCATTACACGAGTAAAACATTTAAGTGGAAACCACTAAAATCCTGTCCATAAAATCAGCAAACAAGTATCTTAATTTCCAATTGGAGTATCATAAAATCAGAAAACAATCTGATCTCTGTCCAAACAATCTGATATGATAAATAATGTACATAAATGCAATAATCAGCTTAAAATTTGTGTTAAATAGGCTTATATGTTTGTGGTTCAAAATTTGTTACTTTCTATGGTAACATGAAAAATATATGCTATAAGTTAACATTGTAGGAGTGGGATTGTGTACTGTAATTTGGTTAATGTTTCTTGCTTAATAGATTACATAATAAGAAATCATTTTACATGTTCTCTATGAAATGTACTAAGTGATTCAAGTACTACTATATATACTGTTAGCATGTGGGTATTTCATGTCAAAGTACCTTTATGGTTCGTCTTTGCAATCTGTGGTTTATATCGATAGACATGATCGTGTTCCACAGATGTAGGGATATCATTAGTTATCATCCTTGGTATGAGGTTGATTTCATACTACTATCTTAGGTTTGATGATAAAGCAATTGCTCATCTAACAATTTTGTACAAGGCAGTTTGATAATTTGGCTATGTATATTTTTATTTATTGGACATCTGTTCATATGAAATATTTAGGTGGCGACTCTGTATCATTTTTGTCCCATTTTTGGACCATGTATTGGTCTTTCCAGCCTGTAACCTCTGGTGGCATGCCGGCCATCCCTAGAGGTTGCCGGCCATCACTTTTGAGTTGATTGCATGTTTTTGGTGCTTTTTGCACTTAATTTCAGGCACTAATCATCTTTGCAACCTCCCTCATTGCTTGGCTTTTAATTTTGCTTTGAAAGTGGTTTTAAGTCACTTGCTTGCCTAAGTGTGAAATTAAGGTTTCATACTTAATTGTTTAATCCTTTAGGGAGTTCATTACCAACGGTATGATACTTCTTTCATACCTAAAGCAACTTGTGTTTTGGACCCTCTTTCCATTAGAGGACTTTAATTCACCTTTGGACTTAATTTGATTAAAGGATGGTTGGTAAGTTAAAATGAGTAATTAAAACTCGGGACTAAAAGTGAGCAAAGATAAGAATTTGGTTGTATTTTGATGTGTTCAATCGGACGTTAATTGAATACATTGAACTTGGACCATTTCATACTTGCTAGTGATGAAATGATCCAAGTCTCCAAGGTTACCTTCTTTTCTTGATCTTTCATGAAAGGGAGGAGGTTTGTGTCTTGTTTTACATTTATTGAGCTTGCACCTCTTGAGTTACAAACCATCATGCGATGAAATTGCTTGAGTTGGTGGTTTGTGGCTTAAGTTCACAACTCCTCGGATTTGTTCATGAAAATGAGAGGTGAGTTGTGCAAACAATCCTTGAAAATACCCTGCATATGTTCTATTTGTCTTCTGTTGCAGCAAGATGAACCAATACATCAGTGGCCGGCAGGCCACTTTCCATGGCCGGCAAGGTAGCCTGCAGACAAGGTTTTAAAAAACGGTCGCAACCGTTACGTAACGCCGTTACGTAACGGTTTTGCAGTGTGATTGAGATTCACAGGTGTGTCGGCCGTAGCGACTGCTGTAGCGGTCGTAAAGGTGCCGTAACGGCCTGTTATGCACCGTTACATAACGGTTTCGAACTGTTTCTTTCAAAAAAACACACAAAAATAAAGTTAAAAATGGAGGAAGATGGATAGAGAGAGAATAGGGAAGATGGAGGAACAAGAGATAGAGAGAGAAGATGAAGAACATGTTATTGATTTGTTGAAACTGTAAGACTTATTCTATTCTATTCAGATGCTATAACTCAGTCATTTTGTGTGTGTCTATTTATATAGGGTTTGATAATAATAATAATAATAATAATAATAATAATAATAATAATAAGTGTAGTCATTATCTATTTGGATTTATTAAAATATATATATATATATATATATATATTTAGGCTCTTATTTATTCTTACTTTTGTCATTGTTTATCTTATATATAATGATTGATTTTTTTGTATAATATAAAGTCATTAATTATTAAAATAAAATATAAAAAATTCAGTTTATAGTGATTTAAAAATATGAAATATATTGGATCTTACTTAAAAATTTATAAAAATTGATCAATATTTATGTTAAAACCTAATAAATATGATCATGAGAAAAAAAAATATTGGTAAGTTTTTTTTCAAATTGTACGAAAAATAAAAAAATTCGCGGTTTCGATTATCGCAACCGTTACGCTACGGCCTTTATACCCTGCAACTGCAACCGCGCCATCGCCACTGTTACGACGACTGCAACCGCTTTTCAGAACCTTGCCGGTAGACCATCATCCATGGCCGGCAAGTGGCTGGCAATATTCACCAGTGGTCGGCTGGCCACTAATATAAATCTTAGCAGAGTATTGGTAAGGTGGAGCAAAGTTGTTCTGGAAGTGTTCAATTGTGCAAACAGAGGCTTTCGAGAGCAAAACGGAGGTCTTTTCGGGTGGAAACCGAGCATGCGCATGCACATCCTTCGTTTCCCGAGGTAGAGTAGCTAATTGGCTTAGTTTAGTTACTTAGTTTAATTATTAGTTGCAATTGT